AACAACAAAGAAGCTGAGTATGGAAATTATCTTCACCGAACTGCTGCTTCAGATTGTAAGATGAAGCTCCAAAGCCTATTTAGGCTTCAACCGCGTATTACAGCTCCTATCTTCCTAGTGAAATAACTGCAACCATTGCAAAATCTAAATAAGAGTTAAGAGGATAAATACTAGGAGACAAAAACCCTCTGAAGGACTAGACTTTCATTTGTTCTACCCTTAAACTAGCAGTAGTACAATCTTAATGTATTATTGGCACTGATACTGAAATAGTAACAAAGAAAAAAATACAAATTAACCATTTAAAAGTCATCTGTAAAGGCTTGGAGGTTGTGTGATGTATGCCATCTTCGCCAATATACAAGGAATTGTAAAGAGGGCTTTCGGAACCTGCACTCCCTTTCCAAGAGCGATTCTTTCACACCATTTATTGCTTTTCTGCCCAATAAAACCCCTTTACCCATTTCCTCTTGGGTGTTTTTTCTGAAAACTGAATCTGGCCTCAGTGATTGCTAGAGAACTTGCTGAATGTCTTAGCATGTTGAATGTGTGGAGAGATTTATTACATTTAGATTGCACATGAAAGGTTGTTAAACAGCTAATAAAAACCCCTCAGTTTTCCAAAGTCCTTCATTATAATTAGATACAGCTAAGAATTCTTCTTGCCCCTGAAAGATCCTTTCTCCCCTAGAAACAATTCAGTTAAAATAAATCGCCTTCTGTCTGGCAGTGGTTTGCTGTATCTTTGATAGCTTCATTTCACTAGTTCTTCCCTTATAGGTTTTGTCTCCTCCACAAACTGCATACATGTTACCAGTGGACACAGCTGCATGAGTTCAGAGTATGTTTTACAAAGACAGGCGTGTTAAGCACCACTTCCAAAACACAATTATAACTGATTTTCCAACTCTTCCCCTTGCAGATTCAGTTGGGCATCATTTCTATTTCTGGAGCGGGGAAAGCAGCAATTTGCTGCTATTTACAACTGGACATGAAATTGGTTCACCGCCAATTCAGCGGCAATCATTTACTGACGTAGATTGCAGCAATGGGTAATTTTGGTAACGGTACGTTAGCCATGACAGACAAAAAAATCGAAGGGAAGAAACAGATACACAAATCAGCACTTACCCCAGCTCTTGTTTTATGTCCCTCCTCTTATGCCTGCCATGTATTTTATTGAAAAGCCCCTGGATCCCACACACCCAGGGTTCTTTCAGTGTTTTTTTCCTCAGTTACTTCCATTTTGGGACCTCAGTGAACAGCACATTTCAAAGACTGCCAGAGCACTAGCAACAGGTGGACATTTTTATATTATAAAAATAAAGACTGAAGCACTTGCATCCCCTGGTGGTAGTCTGATTTATTTTTTGGTTAACAAAATACAAAAGCAGTCTAAACTCTCTGTAAGAAAAAATGGAGTTCTATTTTTAACAATTTATGTATTGTTTACACAAATTGTTGTAAGTGACAGAGAGAAAGAAAAATATTTTAAAATATTTTAAAGTAATTTTGTCTTTTTTGTAAGGGTAGCTGAAGTTACAAAGCCTTGCAAAACCCATGTCATTTTTGGACATTCCAATTATGAAGTTATGAGAATTATTTAGAAAGACAGACTTAGAAGGAGCGAGCTAGTCAATTGGATTTACACTGCAAAAATTCCCACATTACTTCTGAAATTCTTTCTCCTACCGAAAACATTACACTTTGTGTTAGCAGGAAACCAGCCTTCAGCCAAATGACCCCTGAAATTAATTATTTTCCAAAGCCAGGAGGGACAGCTGCAATCACCTACTCTGTTCTCTTACATAGCATAAATCAATGGCATTCTCCAAGGAAGCTCTGGAATTTCTTCCCCACGTCCTACATAAGTGTTCAGGGGTTTAACTCTCTGTGCCCATTAGTAGCATAAACTTCTTGAAGTGCAGGAACAAAATCTGACACCTCTGCCAGAGATGTCAGCCTCTCATCTTCACTCTGACCATTTGAGAGTAACTACATGGAAATACACCTGATCTTCTAAGTGTCTATGGTAGTTGAACCAGACTTCACACATCCATTCAAAAAACTGGCAAAGTATGTAGTAGAGACTAGCACTTGTAGTCACAGCATAATGAAATGTTTTCTCATCACCACATACAACAGGCTTCTATAGTGCACACAAACTGCAGGCTGTGCTTTGCCTGGGATAAGGTAGGACATAAGATTACTACACAGCTTAGGAGAACACCTCGACAAGGCAGCATCTGGTGTCCCAGGATGTAATGTCTCTCTGTGAATCTTGGCATTTTGCAGATCATGCAACCAGTGCTCCATCTTTTAGACTGGGACAGCTGGTCCACTCTGCAAACAGATGCAGAGCTACTACCTCGCCAGTCCCCATGCAGGCCTTCACGTACCTCTGAGAAACAATGTGTACAAGCCCTGACATTTCCAACAGCTCAGTGTGAGCAGGAAGGTTGCAAAGTGAAACCTAGTTCCCTAGTTCTTGTGAAACACTTTGGCATCTAGCCTCAGACCCCTCCAAAGACAACAGCTGAGGCTGATCAGGAACACAGGCTCCTGCAGTCTTCACCTGAGTGAAAGGTATCTATTTGTAACCTTGGGCTCCCTCGTCCCTCTATCTTAACCTGCAGGTGCCATCTTAGACTCAAGCTTTCTAGTGCAGGGAGTGTCTTAATCCATACTTAAGAGATCTAGATCCATGACTGGAGCTCCTCAGGCACTGCTGTTAGCAGAAAATTTTTTTTTTTTAAAGCACCATATGGAAAGTAAACAGAAAGATTAAAATGCCCTATGATTGCTTTAAATGACATGTGATGTCAGAATTAAGATAAGGGATTCCATCTGACGTTAAGATAGTAAGTTACTGCTATCTCTTATTTGCAGTGTATTATGTGGGTTATCATTTCAGATCATTCAGTTATTATTGATATTTTAAGAAAAGCTCTGTTTTTTTCCCAGTAGATCAAAGGATAAATGGATTTTAAAATTATGTGCATTTTGATGTTATGTGACAAGCACACTTATCTCCTTCCTCGTGTTGTGCATAAAACTATGCTGCAAATTAAGAATGAACAGCATAGTTTGACCATTTTACAGAAATATGAAGCTGAATTACATTTAGATTCTGCAGGCCCATGTTGCTGTGCCATCTGGTGGCTATTGTTTATAATGCAGATGCAGGCAAAAATACCCTCCAAACCCCAACCTCCTTCTGTTCCAGGCCTTTTCTCACATTTTTTCTCTACAAAACGTCATTTTCTATGTTTTCTTTTTTCTTTATTTCATCTGTGTCTTCACGAAACAGAGCATCAATGAGAATGATCTACATAAATATAAAAGTCAGTGCTATTTGTGCCACTACAGGCTATTGGGACAATAAACTACAGACCTACGTGTGGTGGTGCACCCCCTCTCCCTGCCTCCATCCCTGCCTTTTTCTCCTGGACTGCTTTACGATCTCAGGAACTCCCATCAGATCTTGGCCTTGGCATAAGGAGTCTGATGATTAGGCAGCACTGTCCGTACCAGGAACTCCTATGGCTGAGGCAGGGAGCAAGAGTGGGGACAGTTATCCCCTGACAGCCTTGGAACACACCTTACCTGGATGGTAACCCGAGTGGCGCAGTACTATCGTTACTGGAATTCCAGTAATTACTGACTCAGATTGTGGCCCGGGTAGAAATTTACTGATGACTAAAGCCAATCATCTCATAACCCTATAAACAGCCATCCTAAGTGAGGCACTTTGAGCTCTCCTGGACCGCCGTGGGCTGTGACCAGCACCTTACCCTGAGTGGAACACCTCTCAGAGCTTGCAAACTCTCAAGTTTGTGAAAATTGGAGGTCCATCGCCAAAGACCGATGGTGGAGCCTGGGCTGAAGCCCTTCACTCCTTGAGGCTCAACCCTCGCCTGTTGAGAAATGCCGAGACATTTGACGTGCGTATTTCACTGAACTCAAGGGGAATTTTTAACAGGTATCCTTTATATATATATATATAAAAAAAATAATCATGTCTGTGTGTATGCATGTATAAATTAAGTAATCTGTAAATGTGTGATTCAATTACAAAGTGAGTCTGTCATGATTATAGTTAACTTACTCTGTGAACGTTTATTTAGTCAATGCTCAAGTGCTGCTAAAAATCTTGAGGTCCACCTTAAACTGTGAATAAACACTAGACTGCTGCTAGACACATATTATCCTTAGACATAAACCATTGACCAAGCCTGACACTCAGACCAGACCTAGCCACGCTCCTCTCTGAGAAGCAGTTTAGAAAGCAAGGAGGTCTACTCTGAACCTCGTGACTCAACGAGAGGGTCCTCCTTATTCTCTGCATCCATGGTCTCTCAGTGAATTGTTAACCTGAGTGTAACTTAATTTTCCTTTGTGTACTTCTTTCATGTGGTAGTAGAGTGAACCTTGCCATTTTCAAATCTTTAACTAAATCGCTGTTTTGATTAAAACAAATTTTGTCAAATCACTTTGTTAATCGGCTGATGATTGAATGCTATTAAAATACCACAATCTAATCCTGTGATTTGCCGTAAAGGCAAAAGAAGAAATAATAAATAATAAACAAATTCGAAACTGCTATGAAATCAAATTGTGTAAAGTCACTCATTTGCAACAAATTGGCATAGTCGGCAGGATCCTAAATCAGCGTTCGCAACACTACTTAATGGATTTTGGTTTTTTTTTCATTATTTTGTTGCAAAGTCTATGAATGCAAGAATGCTTGGAGATGTTAACAGAGTATCAGGGGCACTTCATATTCTAAGCCATGAGAGAAGCAGAAAGATTATGGTTATTCAGATAGTAAATATTGAAGTTCTAGATTTTTCATTCTGGGATTTTTCTAGAAATACCACCAACTTAAAACCACTAGCAAATACCTCAGAAGTAAAGACAGAACTGGCACAGGAGGATATTTGCACCGCTACAGTGTGATATAATCTAGAATGTTTCCTCTTTCAAATAGATTGACTTACCCATTATCCAACCCATTCTGTCCAAGTTTCTTTCCTATGTCACCTACCATCACACCTGGCATTGGTAGGAGAGTTTTTGTATCTCGAATCTGCACAGAAATGGAACGAAACATTACTTCAGTTGTGGAACAACAAAAGTTATTGGTTGAACTTTTCAAACAGTGAAAATATTCCCAAACTTCTATTCTGTTATTAACACTAAAGACAGCTCTCTGTTTTTTTCAAGCACATAATCCTGGATATAATTTGTACTTATGTATCCTCTCATTCAGGACATAGATCCCTTAATGAAAATTACTTTGGCAATATGACACTAATTACATCACTGTGTTAAACATGCCTCAACATTGATGACTGCTATCATCGGACTAGCATTGAAGCCTTCTTCAGGTGTACACAGACACAGTAGAAATGAATGGAACTTTTATGTAACAATCGGCTTTGCGATATTCCCCAATTTTGTAATAAATTCTGTTCAGTCTGCAACTAGTTCATTTCACTACGTACAACTTCTCTACAGCACTGCCATATTTTCTGATGCCTTTAAAATCTTATAAACTGATCTCTGTGGTAGAAGCTTGCAGATTTCATGCAGATCAGCCTGCAGCACTGGCAGGCATAAATCATCTTAAGCCTCATCCAAGACTTTCATATAGCATAGGTTAGTTCTAACTATAAAGGTAGCATGATAATCTGGAGGCTTTTCAGCTCTTCTGTATTTCCCAGAATTTTTTTGCAGAAAACTGACAGTATAAAACTGGTTGTACAACCACCACAAAATCAGTGAACATTTAAATACAGTACACTTGTTACAATTGCAATAGATGTTGAAGGCATTAATTAAATAATCTGCTGGTCAGATATAAATAACAGCATAACAGAAATTGGAACCCGCTTCTCCCAAAAAGAAAAAAAGATTAGCAATATTTCTACCCTACCTGTACAATAAAGGAATGTAACCCTTGGCACTGTCCATCAGGAGTATAGAGCTGGGCGTACACAACTGCATGAGTGGCATGCTTCCCCATATTACCAACCCAGAACTTTGCAGCTTCGAAGTCAGGAGTATTGATGATAAATTCCTGTAGGTAGGAAAGAAAGAAGCAGTTGATACAAATCATAAAAATGAACACATGGCTCTTTTTTTTTTTTTCATGACCATGGTAATGGTTTGAAAACATCCACATTTTTTTTTTTTTCATGACCATGGTAATGCTTTGAAAACATCCATTAATTGTCAGGGTTTCATTCCATACTCCGCTCCCACAGCTGAGATCTCTCTTCTTGTGTTCAGCTTTGGAGAGAATACACATAGCTAGGAAAAATTTAGAGATGAAAAAGTTCATTACTTCATTGTAGAGCCTGAAAGTCAGCCTTTTAATTGCTCATTTAAGCAGTTAAAAAAAGTAGAGGAAAGTAATGGACTCAGGAGCATTTCCTAGATCTTAGGTTAAGCTGAGCTATGAGTCCACGTGAGGGACAGTGAGGGCTGCTCAAGCTGTGAGATCTGAAACCTATGCAGGGACCACTTCCTTCTTACACCGTTTTGTATGGAAAGGAAGCCTGGTTGAGTGTAAAGGAAGCACACTTCCCAGTTTGGACAACTGGGGGACCATGAGTAGTGGGAATTCTGAAGAATACATGTATCTTGAAATTTAGACATAGCTTCAGCATTCAGGTTTTTAGATTCCAAATAGTGTGATTTCTGCGTGCAAAATAAATCTGAAAACAGAGCTTCATGATCTTAACAAAGATTTAGTCATTTCAGTCACTTTTATTGCAGTGCACTCATCTCCAGGCTAAAACTCGATTTATTTAAATGGAACTTTTCATGCTGCTGATCTCATGTTTTGTTGGTTTCACTTTTTTGTTCTGGAAAGGGATCTGATCATCCATGTTGCATAAATGCTCACTGAATTGCTTGTATATGAAAAAATGCAGATCAGAATGTTGTCCTAACAAAGAATATAAAATCTTATGTTTCAAATCTACGATTCTCATTTCTTATTCTTTTGAAGCCACTTCATGATGTGACATTGTTTGCTGACAGTAACAGCACCCAGTTCTATATATTGCAGTGCAATAAAATGCCAGTCTTTGGGGGAGGTGATGCGCCTACCTTCTTGGGACTTTAAATAAAACATTTTAAATTCAACTTGGCACAAATCAAGCATGTAGATGACAAAGAGAGAGAGAAAGTTCTACCAGTCTCCTCTCTTAACCTCTATTTTCTTCTCCCTTAATGTAAAACCATGATGAGTTCTATTAATTTACTGAAAAAATGTTAGGACAATGAATTTATTTCTGCAGTAGTGTTGATTTCAGAAAACAAATTATTAATAGAAAACAGTATCCTAATGGAAAAATCAGTTTATTGTTTTCTTCTTTGGGTCTCTCTGATAGCCTTGTTATGTCTTTTTTGTATTTCTTTTTCTCATCCTCAGGAAATAATCCTAATTTTTATGTATAAAAAACCCTCATATTTAAAGACAAGAACCAATTTAATCTGCACATCCAACTATTCCTTAAGAGATATAATAAAGGAGAAAGATGCTATCCTCATTTTATCTCACAACCAGAAGAGAAAGCAAGAAAACAGAAATTGTTGGGTTTATTGTAAATATTTTTTTCTTTTTCTTTACATTTTGAGTTCAACTTGGTTCTTTCTTGTTAATCCAAGAAATCCCTGAATCATTCTGTCCTGTTAGTAAATAACAGAGCTTAACAGTGTCAGACATTATTCCTGTACATTAAGGACTCACCTGAGTGCTACGATCAAATGTGGCAGTAGTCCGTATGCCTTTGGTATTAGTTCCATGGCTGAGTTCAGTCAGAGCAAAACATCCAAAAATCTAAATAAGGAGATATAAGGCACAGTTCAAGACCATTTTATTACAGCAATTAAAACTGTAAGGTTTTCAAATGATTGCAAATTCAGCTGCAGGAAAGTGACCTGTGACTGCAAGAAACCAATCAAATGTAGCCCTAAGGCTAAGACATCATGCCTGTGGTAGAGTAACAGGTTTTTTTTTTCCTTTGCTGATGGCTGACTCATTCAGGCAGGTACAGATTACTACATCCACTAAAGTTTCAGCTGTCTGGGTTGAAAGAACTGCTGCGTGGTGACAAATCAGCAAGTCTGCTTGCATTACAAGCAGTTCTGGGAACTCCCAAAGTTAGGGGAAAAACAGAATGATGGTGTTTATTTTTAAAATTGCAAATAGCCTACATTATTGAAGGGGATAAATTTGTATCAGATCAATGCATGGATACACTTGGTTCTCAGCAGCATTTGGGAACACTGCCTGCTTGAAGCCACACCGAAATGTGCATGCTGCAACCCCTTACCCTAGACTGGTTTGGCCTGTAGTACATACTCTTCAGTAACAAACCTTTGAAAAGCAAGTGAGAATAACAAACCAAAACAAAAAACTGAAGCCTCAGGGAAAATTATTCTGACAAATACATATCCTAAGGCTTTTGCTTAGACCGAGTCATTAAAAGAATTCATTCTGGTCTTCAGCATGGGGTATCCAATCAGAACTATGAAGCAGTGTATTGTTGTCTGCAAGCAGACAGATAAACACACAATTTCAGAACATTAAATAAGCAAGGAAGGTGAATAGTTGGGGGAAAAGAAAAGAAGTGATAAAGAAAAACAAAAGAAGCACGAAGCTCAGTTTGGGCGTGCTCAGCATATATATCTTGCAAAATCACAGAGAGTCAGGCCAGACCATGAATGCTGCCCATGTCTCCAAATGTCACAGACAGGAGAAACTTTAGGATTGGCTCTACCTATATTAGATAGGCTGCACTTATTCTGCAGGGTACTCAGTCCTGAGTCTCCATTGGACTCCAGGTGGTGTTTCTGTGGCATTAAGACATTATTATTTTCTGTTTTATAGCATCAGAATGGAATTTTTATAGCATCATGGCAAAGGTATGTGTTGCACACTGTATGATGTAGATGTGGGAGTTGGGAGCATCTGAGCATGCAAAACTTGCTAGGATACTCTTAAATGACTGTGGAGACTAAACTGGTGCAGTGTCATCTACATTGCCTTTTGGGAGAAGTCCCCACACTTCGTCTGCATGTTAATTTGGACTTCTAAAACAGATCCAGGAAGTGGCACAATAGCTAGCAGTGAGGATAGTCAGGGCTCAGTGCTTGAAACTGCTCCTTGGTCTTTTCTTTTGCTATTTAGAAGTATCTATGTACATAAAGAGATCAGAAATAACACAAAGCTGCAGGTGGTGTCACAGTACCAATGGTGCCCATTTCTCCCAAGTTACCAAAAAGAAAAATTACCTCCATGCTATAAACTTGTTTCACGAAGTCTGAAAACCTCTTTGAAGCACCCAAAATTGTTCCTGCAAATACCTGTAAAAACAGAGAAATATGAATTAAATCAGTGACCCCGTGATGGAAATCACAAATTGCATGAGTAATAATTTTAATAGTGATGTCCATTAAAGAGACCAGGGACAGTAGGCTGCACAGTAAACTCCTACTTAGACTATAGCTAGAGGAGGTAAGTCAGGATTTGATCTTGTCAAGGCCCCTTTACAGAGTACTGAACTTTTCAGAGCTCTAACCTGTTCAAGCCTTCATTGCAAACTCTTAAAAATGCTTAATAAGCTCACTTCCCATTCGTCTTTACTGATGTCCCCTTGAGTAAAGTTAAACTTTAAGACTATTCTAGTACGTTTTATTGCAAATGGATTGCGAACTGAAGGTAGCTTTTTCGAGATCAGACAAAAGCACTATTTTTAAAGCTACCTTCAGTTTTTCTAGATGGATATTCACATAACAAAACTATAATTCCCAGTCCCTCCCCTGCCATATGGATAGTAGTAATTTATTAATTCAACTAATATTATTTGACCAGCTATGTCAAGTATTCTTCCTGAAAGACTTATCTAGGAATCAACTGATGAACAGAATCCGAGCCACTGATTTCAGTGAGAAACTTTACACTGGTTTCCATTTCTTCTGGATTCTGCCCTGAATCAAGACACTGGGAGTTAAGCAGGGAAGTTTCTGATACCTGTATCTGTAGCAAAGACATAGCCACCAAATAGGGCCCGACAATCAAGTTCTTTGGCTTAGAGGAGTGGGCAAAAGAAGGTGGAACTGTAGCCATCAAAACATCTTTTTGTACCTGTCACTACCACTCCACCTTTACTTTCCAGGTGGGATTCCAGTGGAGACAGGGCTTAATGTCAAAGATATACTAACTTCATCCCACAGCTCTCTGATTAAACCAAATTCCATTTTTGAAAACAAAGGACTGGGAAAAGATATAGCTTTAATAAATAGGCAGAAAACAATGGAATTATGGGATTACAAGACACTTAAATTCAAATATAGACCACTATACCCTTTGAACTGTACTTACACCGCCATGTAAGAAATACTGGAGACATGGAGACCAATCATACATTCCTATACAGATCACCATATTAAGTATCTTTAATGGGTTCTCTATGATCTCTTGCTGAGTAAGAAAATCATACTCAAAGAGCTTTTTACAGCGCAGGAATGTCAGCTCCTGGTATTTCTCACGGCATAACTCTTCTCCAGGATGATGTGCAAAGAGAGGATCACTTTCCAGAGCAGAGAAGATTCTGTTCTTGGGGGGGGGGAAAAACCAATATGGGAACGTTAATCTAAAAACATTAATAAAACAAGTTAATGTTCTTCTAGGATAACACTAGGCATCAAATTACAGTCGTTTGACAGAAGAGGTAAATTTATAAAGCCAAAACTCCAGAGAATTAAAAAAAATCTATTTAAATGGTCTGTCGTTTATACAGTTCATGCAGCTAAATTTTATGAAAGCTCCTTTGTAAATAATATGTATGGGACTGATTCACTCTGAATGTAAGAGAACAGTATGGTAAACCTTACCTGCTTTTCATAGCAGCTTCATTATTTCGCTATATGAAGCTGTGGGCAGGATCTAAAGGGCAATGGCTCTCAATCTGAGGATAAAGGTAATACAACTCCAGGGGTTATATTCAGTTAGAAATGTGCCATAATGGTAAAGCCATTAAGCTACCACAACTGCTCAGTTCCCAGATGAAAGCAGAAATGTACTCCATTTAATGGAACCACCACATGTGGCCATTCAATATGGGGATGTGCATCTTTTAATGTTTTAATTTGAATCTTTTTTTTACTGTTAGCTGATATACTATGGAATTTTTTTAGGTCAGCTCTCTGTGTCTTCAAGATATCTATATCTTCTTAATTGGACTTTCATGTAATTTATAAAAAAAAAAATGTAATGCCTTAGGCAAAATCTTTTAAAAAGGTATTTAAAGTCCTTTCCTCCTCTCTGAAGAGAATGGTGCAATAAGAAGGAAGAAACCCAGATTTCCTGTGCTTTGCTTTGAAAGGGTCATTTCCTCTCTCTGTGTATGAACAATACTATTTCCCCATACAGGTCTGAAAGTCCCTCAGACACAGAGTACCGGTGGTTTTTTCTATGCTCTTAAGCATATCAGTCAGATGCAGAACAAGGCTTTTTTGATTTCTCTGATCCATCTTCTAAGATTTTAATAATTATGATGAGCATTCAAGATTAGTTTAAATCCATGTAAGTTTATACCACCTTCAGAAAAGCCAGTTCTTTCTCCTCCTACCTCTGTAAGTCATGCATTCCCACACTATCTCATTCGCTACAATTAATCTTTTTTTTTGGGAGGGCTAGCTTTCAGTGAGGCAGGCATGCTAATCTGTCCAACTGCAATGCCACATAAGCATTAATGCAAGCACAGAGGATCACAGGAAATTACGTCACGTCAAAGGAAGACAGAAATACTGTGTTTGATAGTGGCATGAACTTAGCTCAGCTTAAGTGCATTGTAAAACCATGGGATATATGATTTAATGCAAACAGGAGAGTAAAGAAATATGGTAGAATATAGCTATTTCTCAGTTTGAAATGAACACTGAAGTTCTGTAATGTAGCCCTTGCTGGTCTCCCCTGTTCAGTAATAAAATGAACCTTATGAGACAGCAAAGTAGGCTGCTTAAAAGTTCAGCCCTGTTTTGAAAATTGGATGTGAAAACCAATTTCTTCATGCTCCATATCTACAGAGTATTATTAAAGTCAATGTCTCCCTTTGAAAATCACATACTTGCTTCCACTGATAAGATATCTCCAAAATTAAAACATGCTTACAATTCTTGCAAAGTTTACCTTAAGCTGGATGGTATCTTCACCATCTAAAAACACTGCCATCTCCTTCCAGTTGAAAGAGGCTTTCTTACGATATTTGCAAAGCGGTCCTCTAGGGAAATCTGGTAGCAAAGTATCCCGTGAGCTTTGGTTGCCAGAGGCTTCTTTAAGATTCAGTGTGGATGCCATTGTTGGCTAAACTGCACCAAACAAGAAAAGATACATCACGAACTGAAGCATCGCAGATGTCTGATTTTTAATAATAAAAAGAAATCAAAAAGGTTGTTAATTAAATCCATAGACTCGTTCAAATGTATGAGTACAGCAGTGCAGAGCCAACTAAAAGCTTGCACTTCCACTTTTCTAATTCAATTGGCTTGGTACAAACTACGACAAAAAAAAGCCTTTGATCAAAGTAAATTAATTATATGGTCTTTGTTATTAAAATACGAGTGAAAACTTTTAAAATAAGCAAAATATGAAACAGGGACACCGTTGGTTAATATTGCATAATGAGGAAAGGGGGGATGAGATAAAAGATCCAGGCAAGAAAATAACATGTCTTAAATAACATAATGTGAATAATTGTTACCTTGCTTCTAAATTAAATGCAAAATAATAAAATATAAAAACACCCAAACATACAAAGCCCTGGTTCCAATGCAGGAGATGCCTGTATTACCTCCACATTACTAGTCAACATTTAAACAACTTTTAACTAAATGGCACGTTGGTTATATGTTAAGGTTTGCTTTTATATAACTGAAGTGATGAGCTGTTGTTCATGTACAAACATGAGACAGAAGACATCAGGGAAATTATAGGAACTCTGCCCTTATCTTCCACTGGTTGAATATATGAAAGAGTAAGTGGGTAATAAAACCTTTATTTCATGTACCCCAGTTGCAGGAAACAAATTTCTGTAAAATTCTGCATATATGTGTCTGATTTAATCTTGCCCAGAACGGGGCTAGCTCCCACAGATCCACTTGGCTACAGGAGCACTACACCACATGAGCATATCTACCCAGGCCATTAGGAGTATGGTGCAGAAATAAATAGGTGAGTTTACAAAGGGGAAACATAAACACCTCCAGCCCCATATACTGTTCCATTGCCTTGATATGGTGAGCATTTAGAATTGTAAAACTAGAATAATATCAACATGTTGTCCATCACTAACACTGACTTGAGTAGAACAGGCACATGGGACAAGCAGGAGGCCGTGTCTGCAATGATGAGTCTGTAAAAGGTACAGATTAAACCTGAATAAATGAAGTAAAATACAACTATCACACTAGTGACTTCTACAAAATACATAAAACTATAGGACATTTCTTTTACATGGAAGACGCAGTTTTGGAAAGCTGTAAGCACATAGGTATGCGCTTCTCTTAACTGTCATACTGTGATGCTCAGGAATAAATATAAAATAATACAAAGTATGAACTTTGCAATCACATTTAAACTTCACTTCTCCTTCTTTCTTCCCTAAAGTTTAAATTTTTATTTGTCATGTGGTGGCTTATAACATTTTTAGTCTGTCTTCCCAGTAAACATTTTTTTCTGTGCCAAATTGACCTCAGACTCTTGCTTATGTGATGAAAAGCAGTACGGCCCCATGAAGTCTGCTGGCATTTTGTGGTGTATATCTATGGGTCATGCAAGCGCATTGCAAAACTTCACAGAACCAGCAGGATTTCATTACCAGTAGGTACAATCGCACTGGTTTTGGAGAGAATGGGAATCTTGCTTTGTGTTAGCTCCTGGCCCAAGGAGTAAAGGCTTATGCCCCTCCTGCTTCCAGAAGCAGATGTCGGAGTGCCCTCTGCTGCTGCCTGCTCCCATCGCACCCAGCAACCGCTGTCACCTCAGGCAGATGGCAGAGATCTGTGTTAGGTTTGTAAGATGCAAAAGTGATGGGGCAGGGGAACAGTAGTTGGCCACGTTATAACAAGGGGACTGGCTGGAGGAAGCAATTCTCGAAGGTACTGGGAGGACATCCAGGCCCAGGGCTGGCCAAGGGCTCAGGACGGACTATGAACATAATAAAGTACAGAAACTACTAGTTTGACATTCTACTTTTCCTGTCACTTCCCTCCCCTCCCCACCCCCCATCATCTTGATGTAGCTCCTTGCTACATTTCCTTTCTTCAACCTAATCCTTTTATGGAGCTCATTTCCCAGTTCTGGACTGAGGACAGCAGGAGAGAAAGAGCATTTCTTCTTAAAGCCAAATAAACAGACATTACTCTTATACCTGGAAAACAGGTAAACCTGGCAGCAGTCCAAGGCTCAGAACAGAGAAAAATTTACATCAAAATATTGCAGTCATTGCATTTAATGTACTGGCTTTTGCTATCAAAAAATGTACCGAGGTTTGTTTCCTTGGGGAGCCGGGCAGCTGGGAGCCGGTCAGGTTGTGTCAGTTTTGACTCCGCTTTCAGACATGCGTTTCTACGCTGAGGTACCGCAGCCGCTGTCACAACGACACAGACCTTCCTCAAACAGACGCCACAAACACGGTAAAAATCCTCCCAGGCTACGTTCGCTTCTGGGAGCAGGCGGTACCCCGCATGTGTCGGCTG